TCCAATGTATCTTAGGAGGAACCATTGCAAATCATTTTTCTTAGCTCTTGTTTCCTCTAAGCTTTGAGGTATCTACAACATCACTGGAAGAGCTAGAGCAGCTTAGGTCCACGTATTCCAATAGAGTTAAAGCGTTTGTTATTTTTGGTACAAACAACGGTCGTAGTTCATTCTTTGTCGCATTTTCGGCAATAAGCCGCAAGCGTGCTCGACGATTTGACGTTATGTAACAGGCCAGTTACACATTTACTAGCTCTGACCTTACAACGAGAGCTAGAACGGTGACTGGGGTTTTTCGTGTAATGTCTTGATAGCGACTGTTTATGTCGAAACGACTCAAAACAAAATTCCATCGTGAAAAAAGTTCGACTAAATTCCCTTCTGAAAAACACGTGTGTATTTAAGGTGGAAAATGTTTCATATGAGCATTCAATTCTTAAAGGTTTAATTCTATAATCATTTTGTTTAGTTATGTAAATAAATTTAACACGACTTGTACTGTTTGTCTGAATGAAAGGCGAGCTGCGGGTTTTCCCTTTTCTTTATTTACACTTTCAAATATGACCGCTTCACAAAAATGCACGGGCTCACTGGCTTACAACCTTGGCGAATTCATATGCAGGCCTGGTCGCAAATCAATCACCCAGTTAGGAATGCAATGAATAGCAGACAAAGACAATTTGAATAGACTTTGTTTCAGATGAGCCATTCGGGTTGAACAACAACAAACAGTGCTTCATATATTCAAAATTATGAAAACTGAAAACCTTGGTGGAGATGCAATAAATCAATAAATTTCTGTTATATGTATTTCCTTCGCTTTTTTTCCCTCCCGAATAATTAATGCGTTTTTGAAGTCGTTCAAAGGCCTCCAATTCGTACAGTGACGAGATTTCAAAGTCCTTGCAATTAGTTCCAATCCTCAGTTAGCGCCTAGGACTGGAACTAATTGCGCTGACTTTGAAACCCCGTCAAGTCCTCATTGTCGGCCTTTAAACATTACTTCAAATTGGCATTCGGCAGTTACAATCAATCGAACTAAACGGTGAGAATTCGATAACTATATAGAAAACGTGTCCACAGCTAGATCAGATTGGCATGCATGATGTTCCTTGTTTGTTTGTTTTTAAGGATTTGTTTATCCATTTATTTATTTTTTTTCAAGACGCTTGTAGCCGCCAATTTCCATAAATTATAAAGTATTATAGGATAGATCGGGACACGTTGTTTGTATCTGTTTTGGATCGCACACATTTTTTGGTAGGTGTTTGTTTTGCTAATTTATTTCTTTATTATTGAATTTATTGTAATTTTGGCTTTATCCTTGTGTTATAGTGAACCTTCTTCCTCTCCTAGTGTGTCGTATTAGTGTACTGACAGAGTTTTGAGATGAATAAATCACGTTTGTATCTTGCGACTCAGTTATTGGCATGGAGTGAAGCGTTCGCAATTTTGTGTTTAATCTTTCATGTAATGGTATTTGTGTCCCCTTGGAATACCATCTACATTTAGTTCACAAAAAATATGTATCTGGATCTCTTCAGTCTTGCATGGATCTCTACTCTAGAAGTATTTTATCAAGGAATGTTTTGAACAGTGTTGCGAAATCNGTTTTGCACTTTATCTTGTTAGTTAATACCAATTATTAAATGTTAAATTGCATTTTTCCAAATACTTTTTTTTTCATCATTTATTACATGTTTTTGTTAATAAATAACCTATCTAATTTGTTAATTGAACATGCTCAAAATACATCTGACCATCTTGCAAAAGCAGCTCTCGCAATCTCCGAGTTGTGTTGCCATTGGCAGCTTGATTACGAATACTTTTCTGTAACATTAAAATCTTTCAAAGATTTTGGGCATTTAATTAGCGAGTCATCAATAACAAATATTTTAATATCCTCTATATAATGACTTATTAGTAAAAGCAATTTGGCGTACTTCCACTTAGAAAGGCCAGGCATCTGGAACTCTGAATTGAAAAACTCATTAATTATTCATGATGTATCCAGCCAATCCCTGATTGTAATTTGTACCACGTGCAGTACTTGAAACCAGAGGAAGTACTCCTACCTTGTATTCTTCCTTATTTACAGTTACTTCTACAATATTTCTAGTTCTTTCTACATTATTTCTAGTTACTTATACCATTCTCCAGCTACTATCTACTAGCTAATGATAATTAATAAATTATTAGAAATAATCAATTAACATTAGTTTAATGAAAAAATGTCTTTGATGCATAAATTCCTCACGACTYGATCCCCTTCCGTCCAGTCTATATGCGTCGTCTTATAGAGTTTATTACATGGAAAGTGCGACGTACCAGGTTTTATTCACGAGTTGTTTGCATCATACAACGAACGAGCGAGGAACGAGCGAGTGAGTTTATGATGCAAACAACGAGTGAATAAAATCCCGTACAAAGCACTTTCCATGCTATCAGCTGTTTATTACATAGTAACGAGACTTTCATTCGGCATACTTTTTAATAAGCTTGTTCAACTACTTTAAGAAACAAACTCAATGACCTTCTTATGTCGAAAAAAAATGCACAAAGAATTAAACTTAATAAACTTGATAAAACTTAAGGCTTACAAAAAAAAGCTAAATTAATAGTCTTACTTTCCACTAAGCTGCAGGAACGTCCAAGTTTTCGTGAGATCTTATAGTAAGTAGAGGAACAAATAACAAGTCTTCGTCGAGAAAACTACTTCTCTTGGTCGGTATGTAAGATAACGCGCTGCAATTTCCGTCTTCGTTTGAGCTGATTTTGCTTTTCTACAGGTACATCTCTTGTCTTACTGAAGTCCTGTCTTTCTGTATTGCATGGAGATAAGTTTAAATTTTGAAGAAAACGATCAAAACTTGGTACAAAACGGCCTAACTCAGTGAACACCAACGAGACATATTTCTGTTCGTTTAAGTTTATAGCTTTGGCTGATGTTTTCCATGCTTTCACGTTCATTCTGGATCGGGCAAAAAACCTAATTCTCTTGAAAAAAAAAAACAAGTCTTCCTACTTTGCTTTAGTTTGTTTGCCTTCCTGTCAACTAATAAACTCTTCAAATGTGGAATTTTGATCAACAAACACAGTTCACCTTCAGCCATTTTGCCATCAACGCGCGGTATGTGAGAGAAGCCATTTCAGTGTTGTGAACGTCGCTTTCTGATTGGCTGATTACGGTTTTTCTGTGTTGTGATTGGTTATATTTTTACAGTGTGAGAAATACTATACGCGCTTCTGGTTGGACGTATCGCTATTTTTCACATGTGAAAATATAGCATATAGATTTCTATTTATGCCATTTACTCTATGAAAGTCTCGTTATATATATATAATAAATACCATTACACCACCGAGTTTCTAAAGCGATTCCTTGGAAAATAACATGCTTATAAATCTTATGAATTAGGCTCATTCTGGATGATTTGAGAAAATGCGACTAGCCAATCAGTGCAAAGCTGACAAGCTTATGTTGTAAACATAACCCCCCGACGGGAGGAATTTKCACAGCAAAACTCGACCCAGTGGAGTAGGCTGCCTGTCATTTTATTCTATTCGAAAAATCGAAGCTAAAACTCAAAGAGAAATTGAAAATCTTTATAAAATAGCTTTTAAATGTCAATCAAGTATTTATCGTTATAGAAATAGAATTTTATCTTAAAAATGAAATAACAAATAATTTTTTCTTTAATATACCACGAGACTCCCCTCCCTGATAAAAATAATTGTTCTGTGTTCTGTGCGGGTTCTCCATGATTTCATGCGAAGCAATGGCTGACTTCACGAARACTTCAGAAGGTCGTTGAAGCGACGTTCAAGTCCAAAGTATCTTAGGAGGAGCCATTGCAAATCCTTTTTCTTAGCTTGTTTCCTCTAAGCTTTGAGGTATCTACAACATCACTGGAAGAGCTATAGAGCAGCTTAGGTCCACGYATTCCAATAGAGTTAAAGCGTTTTTCAATTTTGGTTAAAACAACTGTCGTAGCTCATCCGTTATCGTCGTTATGTAACAGGTCAGTTACACATTTACTAGCTTTGACCTTACAACGAAAGCTAGAACGGTGACTGGGGTTTTTCGTGTAATGTCTTGATAGCGACTGTTTATGTCGAAGAGACTCAAAGCAAAATTCCAACGTGAAAAAAGTTCGACTAAATTCCCTTCTGAAAAACACGTGTGTATTTAAGGTGGAAAAGGTTTCATATGAGCATTCAATTCTTAAAGGTTTAATTCTATAATCATTTTGTTTAGTTATGTAAATAAATTTAACACGACTTGTACTGTTTGTCTGAATGAAAGGCGAGCTGCGGGTTTTCCCTTTTCTTTATTTACACTTTCAAATATGACCGCTTCACAAA